GCAGGCAGACGGGCCACACCGTCCCCAGGGTGCAGATGGGTAGAGAGTCAGCCTCCGAGAGGAGTCACTGCCTGCCCAGGGTCACCCCCGTGAAGGGCACAGGGAGCTGGACTTCATTCCTCCTCCTCCCTGGGCATGGCCGGCGGGAGCCATGAGGATGCGGGGACAGCCCGACCCCCACACCTTGAGCCTGGCGTGTACATGGGGATAGGGGGGCGGTCGGATGGTTTTCATGCTGTGCTCCTTGGAGCCCCTTTGAGGGGTAGCTCCGCAGGGACGTGGCCAGGCCCCCTGCTCGCCACCTTCCCTTCTCTTCATCCTACACGGACTTACTAAGCCAGCTGCGTGCCCAGCTGCGTGCGTGCAGGGCGGGGAGGATCGGGGAGAATGGGAGGCCCGCGTCCCACCGCACAGGGGGCGCTCATCCAAGCAGCACTTAGGGGGGTGGGTGGGGCCCAAGGTGAGGGCCCACCGGCATGCGTTTGGGTGTCCGGGAAGAAGTTTGGGGGTCACACATGAAGGGAGCCCTGAGGCCCCGATTTATGCAGTGCAGCCCAGGCCTCCAGGGATGTGGGGCCCTAATTGGGGGGTGGGGTGGGATGGGGGAGGGCTTGGGAACACCCCCATCCGGTCCTGGAGTGACCATTCTGCCTCTCCCTCTTCCGCAGCCGCAGAGACCTGGACATTAACCGGCCTGGGACAGTGCCGAATGCCAGGACCCTCCGGTGAGTGCCCCTCGCCCCCAGCCTGCCCCTGCTGCCCCCGCCTCCCCCCCAGCCTTGCCCAGGCCAGACAACCCTTCCCCTCTGTCCGCAGCTGCCCCGTGATGCTGGTGGTCGGGGACAATGCGCCTGCTGAGGACGGGGTGGTGAGTGAGGGATTGTGCTCCGACCCGGGGTGGGGACAGTGGCCAGTCCTTGACCAGCCCAGGGACCCCTCAGGGACAGGGGGTGGTGGCTCTCATCCTCCGTCCCCACACCCCCTCCTTCAGCTGAGGGAGGCCTGGAGACGCAGGGGAGCTGGGCCAGGGCCAGGCCACCTCCCCACCCCCAGCAGTGCGACCCCACCTCCGTCTCCACCCACTTCCGGCCGGAGACTAAGACCTCTCTTTGCTCTAACATGTGGCCCCTTCTTTATGGAACAAGTCATTCCTGACCACGACTGCACCACTGCGGGTGGGGACCGTGTGGCCTCTCCTGTCGGAACCCGGGGAGCAGGCGGCCTGGGGGTGCCAAGCTCTGGGGAGAGCACTTGCATTAGCGCTTGGGGCAGGGGGCTCCCAGGCCCCCCAGGGGCTGGGTCCCCTCACTCTGCTGCATCTGGCTCCTCCTCCTCAGGTTGAGTGCAACTCCAAGCTGGACCCCACCACCACGACCTTCCTGAAGGTGAGACCCTGCTCCCCACCCTGGGCCTGGCCTCAGGGAGAGGCCTGCCTGGCGTCCTGGCCGGGCCGGTAGATCTGGTCAGCCGAGCCTGTCCAGGTGCGTGGGGGCCAGTCCAGGCTAGGCTTGGGGGGGCCCTGCTCCGCTCACTCCCCTCTCTCCCTGCAGATGGCGGATTCCGGGGGGCTCCCGCAGGTCACACAGGTGAGACAGCCCTCCCTCCTTGCCTTGGCTGGGGTGGGGGACCTCCTCCCTCCCCCAATGCTAGACAGTCAAGCATGTGCCTGTCCCCCCGCAGCCCGGGAAGCTGACTGAAGCCTTCAAGTACTTCCTGCAAGGCATGGGCTACAGTAAGTACCCGGCACCCCGCCCCCAGCACCCACAGGCGGCAAGGGGGCCAGCACCGCCAGGTGTGCTGAGCAGCCCGTGGGCCGGGCGCCCTGGATGGGGGCCTGGGTGCGGGGTCGCTCTCTCCACACGCCCCCCTGCTGCCAGGGCGTCTGCACCTCCGAGCCCAGCTCTCCTGGGCCCTGGGGAGGCTTTGGGCACCGTGGCATGGCCAGGTCCCGCCTGAGGGTGTCAGACACCCCCCCGGGGTTTGTCACAGCTGGGAGATGGGCACAGAAGAGCAGCTTGCAGTCTGGGCCGCGGAAGGCACATGAGAAGAGCTCCTCTCCCCATAGGCAGCTGGGCCCGGGTGGCAGGGTGGCATTCTGCACATCCTGGGGCCTAGGGGCCGCGGGCAGCACTGGCCCCGGACGCACCCCTCCCCCCTTCTGTCTCCAAACTTCCCCTGTGCTCAGATCCAGACTGCGCTTGTGAGCCCCCAACATGCGCGTGCGCGCGCGCGCACACACACAGACACACACACACACACACACACACACACACGGGACACACACACACACACACACACACACTCACCTCCTCCACCCCTCTGCTGCACACACCTGGCTCCAGGTGGAAGCAAACTTCCTTCCCCTGAAGTTTTGTGCCTCTGGGCCTGGGGGAGGGGAGGGAGGGAGAGGAGGAGGGGAGGACAGGCCTGTGTGGGGAGGGGAGGCAGGAGCCCCATCCCTCCTGCCCCAAGGCCTCGCCTCTGTGAGAAGTAGGCAAGGAGGCCAGCGGTGAGACAGCAGGACTCGGAGCGGAGCCGGCCTGGAGCACGGAGGCGCCCAGTCAGCATCTGTGGGATGGGGGATGGGCAACGCCTGTCAGGGCCCCGGGAGAAATGCCACCAGGAAGCCAAGAGCTGGGGGGACCTGGGAGGTCGTGCAGGCCTCCCCCATTCTGTCCCTGGGGGGACTGAGGCCCAGCAGAACGGTGAGGGGGTGAGGGCGCTGGGACAGCTATGGGCCCAAAGGCCTTGCTGACATGAGCCCCTCAGTGCCGGAGAGGCTGGGGGCGGGAGGGTGGGGGCAAGAAGTGCCCCCCCCTGCTGTTGGGGCTCCAGGGCCAGGCTGAGGTCAGCCTGTGCTGTGTGGTTCCTTCCGTGGCTGCTGCGTGGTGGGTGGGCAGGAGTGGGCTCCCCGAGGCCCTGGCCCTGCCTCCAGCCCAGTCTGTCCTTCCGTCTCCTCTTCGGTCCATCTCACCCCTTGCCTCTCGGACCTCGCTCCTCACCGTGTTCTGTCTCCCCTCCCGGCTGTCTTCTCTCTCAGTTGCGTACTTGAAGGACCGGAGGCTGAGTGGAGGAGCAGGTAGCCCCGGAGCCCCTCCCCTGATGCATGGCCCGCCCGGGCTCCCCTGCTCCTTCCTCTGGCTGCGCTGAGCCAGCGCATCTCGCTGTGGTTTGGAACCTTCTCGTGTCCTGCTCGTGCGCAGATCCTGGGTGGCACGGGCTTTGCCCCTTTTTAGGGCTCTGGATTGGCTGGGTTCGAGAGCAGCCTTGCTCCTAGGGAGGCTTCCAGAGCTGTGGCAGCTGGAACCAGACCCTCTCGAGGGCGGGCCCAGGCCCGGCCCTGCCCCATCTGAACAGGTGGCCGGATAAGTGAGGAGGGCTGAGTCTCGCTTGTGAAACGCAATGAGGCAGAAATGGGATTTAGGGCAGTTTGGCCTCCTTTGCAGAATCACCCCCCTCTCCCAGCGCGCCCCCATCCTCTCAAGGCAGGCCACGCTGAAACAATGCCCCCTCCTTCCCCCAGCCCCGGGGGAGCTGGTCAGCTCCCGTCCATCCTGGCCTTGTCTCTGGCCAGCTGTGGCGAGAGGGTCCTGCTGGCGTCTGCGGACCCCGGCCCGGCCCCGGCTCGCTCACTGTCGCTGGCTGCATGCCTCGGGCTGGCAGAGCCGACGCCAGAGCCCCGGCTTGGGACGGGCCTCTGTGCCATCGGAAGAACGGGTCTCGCTGGCCGCTTTGCTTGCGTGAGTCCTTCTCCCGCCTGTGGTGCCCGGCCCTGCCCGCTGGCCCTCATGCCCGGCCCCGCCTCTGTCCACAGTGCCCTCGGCCAGCATGACCCGGCTCGCCCGCTCTCGGACCGCGTCCCTCACCAGTGCCAGCTCGGTGGAGGGCAGCCGCCCGCAGGCCTGCACCCACTCGGAGAGCAGCGATGGGCTGGGCCAGGTCAACCACACCATGGAGGTGTCCTGTTGAAGCCCTGGTCCCCTGAAGACGCCCACGTGCCCCCACCCGCGTCGAGGTCCCACTGCCACCCTCGCGCCCGCCGGCTCCTTTTCTGTTTTGTTTCTTTCTGTGAGGGCGAAGGGAGGAGAGGGGGTTATGGCTCTCAGATGCTACAGAACAGTCTCCAGGGGGTCCCCAGGCCCCACCTCACTAACCTTGTTGACCTGGCTAACTTGGGTCCCCAGCACCTGGGCGGGAGGGGGACCAGCTAAGGAAAGGCCGAGTCCCTCTCTGGCCAGGATCCAGGATGATATCCTGGGTTAAAGAAAGAGCAAGGGATGGCCCCTGGGGCAGGCAGGTTTGAAGGTGGGATGGAGTTGTGAGGTGATGGGTGCAGCTCAGGCACTGGCATGAGAACCAGGAGAGGCAGCAGGGAGCCCTGGGCCCCCCCACCCTCCAACTCCCACCCCAGCTCCCACCAAGCACATCTGATTCTGTCTCATAGCACATATGACAATCATCTGAACAGTAGCCACAAGGGGGCGCTCCCACAGGCCTCTTGCGGGTACTGCAGGGCCAGGCAAGCAGGGGCTGAAGGGGATTTCTCTGTCCAAGGAAAACAAAAAAGACCTTGAGGGCAGGAACCCCACAGACTGTCTCTTCCGGCTCACACCCCCCCCATGTCTGCACCAAGGCCCCGAAGCAGGTGGTCTCCCGGTCTTCCACCTCCATAGGGACCTGGCTGGGGGCTAAGGTTAAAGGCCGGGATAGCCAGTGAGGACGGGGTGTACCCCTGCCTGCCTTTGGGAGCCAGCATGTGGCCCCAGGTGGCAGTGGCTGAAAGTCCCAATAGATCCCTCTTTTGCCCCCCAGGTTCCATGAAGGACAGTGTGGCCAAGGCCGCCAGAAACATGGTATTTCTAGGGAGAGTCCTGGTAGAGTTATGCCGGCGTTTCACCCAGGCATCCCTAAGCAAGGCGAGAGTTTCTGTAGAACTGGTCCAGGGTGTCAAGACTCCCGCAGGCCCCATCCCATCTCGGCCTGTGGAGTGGCTTGGGCTGGGGCTTTGCTAGATCTGGGGGTAGGAGCGGAAGGTTCCCGCAGTGAACAAGGACCAGGTAGAGGAGAGAGGCTCCCCCCACACACCCTGCCCCCTCCTGCCACCTAAAGCCCAGGACTGGGCCGTATATTTCCCATCCACCACCTTATCAGGTAGAATCTCTGGGCCCAGAAACCAGAAGCCATTTGTCTCAGAGCCTGAGTCAGTTGCCACAAACCCCCAAACGAGTAAAAAGAAAGGGGAGAGAGCTATGAAAATCGGAGGGCCGGGGGTGTGTATGTTGGGGGGGGTGCGCTCTGAGGCTGGGAGGGTACCCATATCCATGTTTCCTCTGCACATATTCCCCCCCCCCCCCCCATAATCTTAAGCCATTGCTAGACTTCTCTAGAGCCCGGTGGAGTGTTAGTCTGTGCCCAGTTCTATTCACTCACGTGCTTCCTTTGAATATCGAATGTGACCGTTTGAAAAGCTGGTAGAATTAATCCCTCTTACTGTAGATAGTGCTGCAAGTTGGATTTCTCTTGTTTTGCTGTGTTCTTTCAGATGAGATATCTATATCTATACATTATATATATATGTATGTATATCGGGTCCTCCTGTGTGTGGTTTTCCATCGGAGGTTGTCTCTTCTTTGGTCAAAGTGAACTTTCAATGGAGTTTATTATTTTCCTCTCTGTACAGGGTGGAGAGCCTAATTTTGTGTATTCTAGTGGCTGATGTCATGAGACTCGGAAATGACAAAATGTAAAACAAGTAAAAACCCTTGTCAACATAGAAAGAGTTAACTGTGCTGAAAACCAATAAAGAAACTAAAAGGAATTTGGGTATGGTGATGTCATGCCCACCGTGGGAAGCTTTGGAAGAGACAAAGTTGAGGCTGGCAAAGCTGATGCCTGTGGGGGTGAGGGTGGGGGAGTGTGCAGGGTGAGGGTGGGCACTTCCATCTCCTTGTCCCATACATTACCCTGCCAACCCTTACATTAACTCTACAGGATAGTATCCATTATCTTAGTGTCACAGCGGAGGAAACAGAGACTCCGAGTAAGGGATTTGCTGTAATAAAGCCAAGTGGGGAGCTGGCATTGGCATCGTTGGACTTGAAAACACAAGCGTGTAACCTCTATGTTCATTCGTTGCCTTGTTAAATTTAACAGCAGGCTCCTTCCCCAGGTTTAGCCACTTATGATTAACTCAGCCGTTTACCCAATAGGCAATTGAGTTCCTGCTGTGTGTCAGCTAACAAAGCAAGTAAATAAAAATTAAACCCACTATGTGCTATGCAGAAAATGAAAACAGGAATATACTAGAGAGTGTGACAGGAGCCTATCCTAATTCTGTGAGCCCTGCCCACGCCGGCATGCAAACTGCTCTAATTGAGCAAATAAAACCGGTGATGACCACAGCTACCGAGTGGCTTAGATGAAGGCAGGCCGGCGCCCGCCTGGTGCGCCGACAGCCGCAGCCGCGAGGCCCTCAGCTTCGCATCCAGAAAACAGATTTTGTCCCTCACCCGGACGTGCACCCGAGGTCTCAGGAGTCGGAGATCCCAGGGGAGGGTTGTGCCCGGCTCAGAACCAGGCTCGTGGTGGCACGGGGACACGTCTTCCTGCACCCGACCGCACGTTTTCTAAGCCCAAATGGGGACGCCCTCACAGAAGGCCGCTTTCAGGCCTGACAGTACCAGGTGCCAATCCCTAATCGCTCTGACACTAGCCCCACGTGGTCCGCGCGGCGGGTGGGGCACGTGGCCCCGCCCTCAAAGCCCCGC